AATTGGGGGGTGGGTGAGGTGGAGGTAGCGACGGCGGGGCTGGCGACGGCGTCACAGCTGGCAGTGGCGGAGACAACGTCGGCGGTGGCGGCGGCGGGTCCCGGGCCGGCAGCGCCGTTGGCGGCGACGGCAAGCGCAGCGACGGTGGGACCCCAACCGGAGGCTCAGGGCGCGGTGGCGACGGCCGGGGCGGCGGCGACGGAGGCTTTTTCGGAGGGCGCGGTGACGGCGGTCTCGGCGGTTTCGGTGGTTTCGGAGGGGATGGCGGCGCGGGCGGAGGCAACGATGGTACGGGAGGGCAGGGTGGAACCTGGGGGGCCTTGGGCCAGGTTGGCCATTTCGGGAGGGTGCGCTGCGGCGGCGGCGGCGGTGACGCTAGCAGTGGGGGAGGCGGACTAAGGGAGAGGGTCGGCGGCGGCGGTGGCGGCGGCGGTAATCGAGTGTGGGCTGGTGGTGGCAGAGGCGCCTGAGACAGGATCTGGGAAGGTGACGGTGACGGCGGCTTCGGAGGCGGCGGCGGAGGCGATGGCGGAGGCGATGGCGGAGGCGATGGCGGAGGCGATGGCGGAGGCGATGGCGGAGGCGATGGCGGCGGTGATGGCGGAGATGCTCGGGGTTGCGGCGGCGGCGGCGGCACCGGTTGTGGCGGTGATGGTCGCGGCGGCGGAGGTTGTGAGACGGGAGGATTTGGGTGTGCACCCGCCGGGGGTGGAGGCGCAAGTAATGGCGGTCGAGATACCGGCGGTGGCGGTGGCTGCTGCGGCGGCGGTGATAGAGGGGCTGGCGATGGGGGTGAACGCGACGGCAGCGGAGGTGTTGGTGGCGGTGGTGACGGCGGCGGTGGTGATGGTGGTGGTGGTGATGGTGGTGGTGGTGATGGTGGCGGTGGTGATGGCGGTGGTGGTGATGGCGGTGGTGGTGATGGCGGCGGAGGCGATGGTGGTGGTGGTGACGGTGGCGGTGGTGATAGCAGCTGTGGCGATGGTGGTTGTGGTGGCGGCGACGGTGGCCGCGGCGACGGCGGTCGTGGCGACGGTGGCCGTGGCGACGGTGGCCGTGGCGGCGGCAGTCGCCTGATGGGTGGCGGAGGTGACTCCTCATCCGCGGGTGGCGGCAGTAGCGGGTAATCAAATGGCGGGAAAGTGAAAGGCGGGAAACTGAATGGCGGGAACTCCGTTGGCGGGAAGCTCGGGTAGTCCGCCGGCGGCGGGACGTCTGGCGGAGGGGGCGGCAGCTTTCGTCGTACCGACTGCGGTGGTGTACGTGTCAGCTTCGGCGGAATTATTGCTGCGACGTTCCCTGGCGGCGGCGGCGGCGGCGGCACCGGCAACGGGCTGCTGGGCGGCAGGCACAGCCAGTCCGTATTCTGTGACTCCTGGCAGTCAGCGCTGCCGTACAGGTACGCCAGGTCTCCGGCGCAATAGTCAAATGATGGAGTATCCTCGTACCGCACCGTCCCGGATAAGTACGACTGCGCCAGGGTAAGCACCTCCCCGACGGTACGGCAGGCGCACGCGGGTAACGCGACCCCCGCAAACACCTGCTGCTCAATCGGCCGTACACCATGGGCGCGTGTGTGTAGTACATTGAGCATAAGGCCTAGTACGTCCGCGACCCAGAAGGCTTTGGAACCGAAACTGGGCAGGTCGTCGGGACACGTGCCGCTGCTGCTGCCGCCGCCACCGGCCACGGTGATGTTGACGGTGGCGGTGAGTGGCAGCGGCAGTAGCCGATCCCCCGTCGCGGCAGCAGCGGTGGCGGAGAAGGGGTCCAGCTGATGCTGCAGGAAGCAGTGCAGCGCCGCCGGTGACGTGAAACGAAGACCGGGGGCTGGGGGCGAGCCGCCAAATCGCAAGACGCCAGTTCCGCCCGTGAATATCGCCCAGTTCTGAACAAGTATAGAAAGACCTGGAGGAAGAGACCAGTTGTCGGCGGTGAGGAGCGCGGGGTCACAGGTCGCCGGCGGGAAGCAGCTCACAGGACAGTACGGCTTGGGCGGAGGCGGCGCCCTGCGCAGTTTGGTTGTGGGACCGGGATATCGGTGAGCTTATGGATTTTGATGGATTCTGTGTCTCTGGCACGCGACGTGCGAGCATAAGGGCGCGCGTGCGTGAAATGTAGTGTGGGTGGGTCCCATCTGTAGCTGTCCATGACATCTGAAAAAGTAACCGACAAAGTGCTGCAGTCCGTATGAGGTATACGAATGAAAAGAAAGAGCTATGATAGCTGTGTAAATCGGATTTCTTAACTTTGTCAACAGCATAATTCAAGGAGTGCGAAAGCTGGGATTGCGCAAGTCATTGATTGCGTCCCTACGCAAAACGCTCAGAGATAGGTCGAAGTCGTACGATATAATATAGAAAATATATAAAGTTGCATGATGTGTGTAGCCCTAGTGCCCTCCTTACTTCTTGGTTGCCGCTTGCACCGTCGGTAGCCCAGCGAAATCATAAACTGCAGGTCGTCAGCAAAATGAAATTATTTTTTTCATCTCCTACATTAATAACGGTCTTTTGCCGCACAGTGAATTGCATGCCCTACCCAGGCTTACGAAGAGCCCGTGGGTCTGCAAGCCACTGGACAGCTGGACAGCCTTTTATCCTACCTGTCAGTGTTAGAACGGTGATTATCAGGTAAGAAGTGCATTTCCTGATGCTGCACGCTGTAACTGCTGTTGTCATGGCACCCGCTCCTCCGTCATAGAGCGACAGGTAGTCAAGTCAACATGGTTTTAAACAAGCTTAACACGACGTGGATCCAGCTGAAATCTGTAGAAGCTTTATACTTCTTCAGCTCTTTCGCGACCTATCGACCTGTACCGTGAAAGTTCATCCAAGGACAGTCATGTGGGGTGATGCTTTGGTCTGGGGAGAAACAGATACTATTAGCAACCTCGCAGTCGACCTTACAAATATGACATGATATTCGCACATTCTATTCGGAAGCAACAGCACTCTTGCCATATTGATTTGAGCCGTACATCGCCCCGCCCACCAAGATTTACAGGGCCGACAGCTAATCCCAGAGCACGACTTGATTCAGATACATCATGTCAGAGCTGACCATAATTCAATATCTAATATAAAGGTGCTTAGTAAGTATAGCAGGGCCGTAGATGGCTCAAATCCTCAATCCTCGCTTTAGCACGGTCCGCGGCAAACGGGTTACTTCATCGTTAACGATCCAGGATAAGCAGGCTAAATCATTAAGGCAGAAATGGATATACCTTTACGGCTGAAAGAATTACACAGGATGCACGGGTTGCAGAATCGTGACCCAGGCTTCATCTATGTACCTGTCAGATTACCTTCCTTAGTTGCAGGAAAGGACGCGAATGTCTCATCATTATTGAAAATACTTGTTGTAATAGTTACCCTTTGGCGCTAACATCTTGTGATCTTCTTAAGCTGCTTTGTTTGGCCTTGGACCCCTGCTGCCAAAACGCTACTTATGACATCATGGATAGGGCAACCAGCAATACTGCTTCTTCTGACTCAACTGCTCATGACAGGTATGATTGTGGGGCCTCGAAAGGTTGTCCTTATGTACAGTCTAGCTTTGCATTGTTGGAACGCTTGGCATTGATAATACATATATCCCTGTTATGGAAAAGACGATCAAGATTAATTGGGATTAAAATGAGCGTGCAATAAACTCCTTCCTAGGTTCAGCAATTGCATCCTTGGCAGTCCCATGCTGTCCATTACACCTCGTCGTGTGCAACATGTGATTTTTGCGACACACAGGTAGCCTAAATGTGGCAGGCTACGTGTATACGGGGCCAGGCAACCAGCAAGGCGGCAGGTACGCGACAGCCAAGTTCACCTGGTCGGGAAAATGATGGGTATTCACAAATCAAAAGATGTGTCAAAAAACTTAAAGAGCTTGTCTTCATTTGTCAAAATTGCCGAGGTTGAGTAAGCACGAAGCGAGAAGTCCTATTCCCTTGTCGAAGCGGCGAAGGGGAAAAATGCGCTCCCGGAGCTGCAGAACTTCCTAGATTGCAATCTGTACACCTACGGAACTTTTCACCGAACGCCGAACGCGCCATTTTGACTAGCGGGGGGGTTGTGGCACGTGAAGGAGAGAAGCGTTCGTTGCTTAGGCTTCCGTATGCCGCTTGGCCCGGGGGGGGTTGTGACTTCGCCGCCACCACCGGATGCTGTTCAAGCAAGGGACCGACCAAAGGTGTTTAAAGGAGGCAGCGGCATCACGGCTTTGGCTGCCGCGGCTACATTAAATGGCCGAATTGGCACGACATGTCATGCATCAGGCGCCCTCTGCCTCGGGGGAGTCCTAGCATTGCCAAGAAGCGCCGGGTAGCGTGTGTGTTTCAGACGGAGTGTAAGCCCCTGGCTCTGTGATGGCCAGGGACGTTATGCGTCCCTAAGGGATCGGGTCGCTCGCAGCTGCTGCCTGAGCTCCTTTCCGGTAAAATATCCGCCCAGCCGCTATTCCCCCTTTCCCCCTTTTGCCATTTGGTGCCACTTTCCGCTGGTGTATGGTGTAGCAGCAGTAGCAGCAGCAATAGCACTAGCAGCAGCAGCAGTAGTAGCAGCACTACCAACTTCAGTCGCACGCCGAGCAATAGCAGTGGCAGTAGCAGGGCCGCCGCCCCGGCAGCAGCTACCAGCAGTATCGCCGGGGAGTTTACGACCTTTCCCAGGCCTTGGCTTGAGAACGGCAACAGCCCGCCGCCGTACGACACTTGTGCGGCAGTTGATTGGTGCTATCTTGTAGACGACCGCACCCGCTGCCCCTTTGAGACTTACGGTCCGGAGGAGTTCGCGGGGTTGGTGGCAAGCAGCGCCGCGCCCAGTTACATCAGGAATTTGTGGCGCATCTTCACGGCCGCCAGCGGCGGACAGTTTGTGGTGGGGCGGCGTGACGATGCGGCGACGCGGATCCTCTTCAATGATGCGGACTCTCTGATTTGCTTCCTGCGACTCCAAAACGATAGCGCGCCACTGACAGGAGCAGCGACGCTGCCGCTGTCGGCGCGCGCCGCCGCCAACGGCGGCGGTGGCGGCGGCGGCGGCGGCGGCCCCCTTGTGGTGTCAGCAACACTGGACCCCGTGATGAACGTCTGTGTCTTTGCTGACGCCGACGCCGCCACCCGCGGCGACTACAACTTCGGATCCTGGATGGCCGCCGCCCTGACGCTACGGCTCAACGCTGAGCTGTCGGCGGCGCGAAAGGCGCTGGGCTCGCAGGAGATGTACGGCGACTTGCAGGCGACACTGGTAACGCGCACAGGGCCACTGACCGACCTGCCGTGCGGGTGCCGTACAGTGGCGGAATATTTGAATGCAGCGGATGCGGTGGTTTCGGGGCCTAGCGACCTTCCATCCCCCGGGGAGGGGTTCCTGGCGGAACACTGCCTGCAGCGGGTCTCTTTGGCTGTCGCAGCGGAGTACCACGCCGGCGTGTGCGGCCAACGCGGCAGCCGTACGGCGTCTTTCCTCTGCAAACCTGCTGCTCCGAAGTATGACGATGATATCTCCAGCCCGCCGACAACGGCGGCGCTGCCGCCGCCGCCGCCAGCTGTACCGCCGCCGCCGCTGGCCACCTGCCATCAGGCCTGCTACCCTGATCAAGCCGCCGCCACCGGCTGCATCTTTAAATTCTACACAGCAGCCCAGTGGGGCAGCCTTAGCGCGTCTTCACCCGCTTCGGCGGTGCTCGACAACTCCTGGCCTTGGTTGACCCGCAATGGGCCCTTCTACTTAGGCGCCGGCGGTGAAGACAGGACAGGGCCTTCGTTCGAGTTCGCGGACCGCCGCGCGCTGCAGTGCTTCATCCGTACACAACTGACAGCGACGCCGCCGGACGCCGCGTACGGCCTGCCGCTAGGACACTCCATACCCGTAGCGTCGCCGGGCACCTGGTCATCATCGATAGCGGGCGCCTTGCCATCGTCAGCGGCGACGGGTTCGGGGATGACAGCCGGCTGCACGTTCGCGTTCAATGTCTCATCTTACGGCCCGTGGGTCGCTCACATTCTAGCTCTGAAGCTGAACGTGCTACTGCAGCCGGTGCTGTCGCCGGGGTCGTCGACAGCCGCAGCGCCGAAGCTCGGCGATTTTGTGTTTTCGCAGTACGGCGGTACGGCATGTGCCTGCCTGAGCGTGAACGAGGTACTACGGCGGGCTGAGGCCGCCATCACAGGATGGAGGTTGCCAGGGATGCCGAAGCTGGGGCTTAATGGCCCGATCTGGTTGTACGGCGATTGTGCGAAGGCCGCCGCATCTCAGTACGCCAACGGGGCGTGCAATTGGGAGGGTGAGAAGCCGCTCTGTCGACCGAATGCCCCACCACCGGCACCTCTGCAGCCGCCGCGCCCACCACAGCCGCCATCCATCCCGCCGTCGCCACCACCTCCACCCCCGCCGCCGCCGCCACCGCCGCCATTCCTGCCATCCCCGCCGCAGCTACCGCCACAGCTACCGCCGCCGTACCAATCAAGACCCACGCTGCCCGCCGTATACGGGTCCCCATCGCCGGGCTGCGCCGCCGCATGCTTCCCGCCCTCAGATCCCTGTCCTGTACGACAGCTGTACGACACAGCCAGCATGGCTGACGTCACACCGACCAGCGAGGCGGCGGCAGTGCTGTCCGCATTTTGGCTGTACATCCTAGAGGAGTTATTCCCTGCGGATCTGGTGTTCGTACTCGGATCGCCGACTGGCTCCGGAACCGAGCGTCATATAGAGTTTCCCTCGGCGACTTCCCTGCAGTGTTTCGTCCGGATGCAACTGAACCGCAGTGACGTCCTACTGCCGTACGGCGGACCGGCCGAGCCGTCGCCTGCGGTCCCGATAGTCAGGCCGCTTCGGACGGTGCTTCCATTCGACGCGGAAGTCGACGCTAGCGTCGGCCGCTGCGTGCTGGCCGCAACGTGGATGCAGGAACTGTACTACGGGCCGTACATGGCTGACGTACTTGCGCTAAAAGTCAACGTGGCGCTGTCGCGTGTGCGCGCCGGCGGCGGCGGCGGAAGCGGAAGCGAAAGCGGTAGCAACTATGGCCGTAAGCCGGCGGGGAGATTTAAGCTGAATGTTGCGCGTTTCGGTAACGGCTGGCAACCCGGCGACGGCGGTGTGGATACGGCCCCATGCTGGTGCCGTACGGTTTCGGAGGTTCTGGCCTGGGCAGACAATTTTGTGGGAGGCGAGCCCAACTCAACACTAATGGATGCGCTCACGGCCGGCGCCTGTGCTGCCGCGCTTATGAAAGTGTACGGCACCCGTACATGTAGTACGACTCCGGGGCCTGGGCTGCTGTGCGCCGACGACTGGGAGCTGGCGGCGCCACTTTACCCTTTTGACAGTCCGCCACCTCCACCGCCGCCGCCACCGCCGCCGCCGCCGCCGCCACCTCCACCGCCGCGACATGCAACTATGATGTATCCGCCGCCTCCGCCATATGCGGCTGTGGGGGCGCCGCTGTACCCACCGCTCTACCACCCGCCACCACTGCCGTACCCGCCACATCCTTGCCCCACACGACAACTGCCGCTATATTTCCTTCCGACACAGGACCCTTCATTGTACCCACCATCATGCCACTCCTCGCCCCCGAGCTACGCCCCTCAGGCGGCGTCGCCGCCGCCATCGAACCCTCATATCGGCCATCCCAACGTTCCAACGCATCAGTCGCTGCCTCCGTCGGCGCTTCCCGTTACGCTGTCCCGGCCTGTCGTACGGCTCGTCCCGTCGTATTCTCCCTTCCCAGCGGCCCAACCTCCGTCACATCCCCAATCGCCCGGAAGCCGACCGCCGCCGACTTACCCACCATCGAAATCAAGATAACAGGGCGGGCAAGCTAAAGAGCCGCTGTCGCTGCATCGAGCAGCGATCACTCACCCACGTCACAGGCAACAGAGCCGCCGGCCGCTGAGCTGTCGAAGTTAACGCCTTGAGACATGGTCAGCAGTGCGCCGTACACGACAGCGGCAGCGGCAGCGGCAGCGGCCTCAAGCTATGTGGAAACGGGTGCATAGCACATGCTGAGCTGCACAGCCGTGGCGCGCCTGCAGGCCGCTCTGGCCGCTGCCGTATGCTGCTGAGGTATATCTGCGAAGCTGCGCATGCGGCGCTTCTTCCGCGGGCCGTTCTCCTAGGCGGTACGGCAGTGTGCACGTGGGCTCGCCTCGATCCGGATTCATTGGATCTTGCCTACCGCCCAGCCCGGACCGCAATGTGGCGCATTGGAACAATCGCGCGTGTCGAAGAATCGGGCTGACGTGGTACAGCTCGCGCGTGCACGCGAGCGTGTGTGTGTGTATGTGTGTATGTGTGCGTCATCGCAGGGTTGTGGGGCGGAGGGAGACGTTGCACCGATGTGGCAGTGCCGACGGGCTGACAGGGCTGAGGATCAGCTTGACGTGTGTGTTTTGGGGTTGGGGCTCGGAAAGGTGCCAGAGGCTGTACCTGCCTGGGGGGAGAGCGCCGTGCATGGGGCTAGGGGGCCATCGTGATCTGAAGCAAGGGGGGAGCAAGGATTCTGGTAACTGCTAAAAGTCTGTGCCGTACTGGTAGACAGGTGTGTCGGTCACCGCATTAGATGCAACACAATCTGTTTCCCTGCGAGGAAGCCGGCGACTATTTCTCTCGTTTATTTGTGTTTTGCATTCTTTTCGCGTCTTGTCTGTCGGTGGATTGTCATTATTACTTATCGTTTCTTCTTGCCGGAAAGCGCCATATACGCAAGGAAGTCTGCGTCTGCGCATTCGCTGTTATACCTTTTTTTTCTGGAAGCAAGTGTGTGTCTACGTGCATTCGTGCAAGGTTCAAGGTTATGCGCGGAATTTTGTATTAATTATAATAAAACATGGCATTTTGAGCACGTTGCAACAAATTTGCGTAGTAACAGCAGCTGCGTCTGGAGTAGTAGAAGCAGTTATAGCAGCAGCTGTAGCAGGAGCGGTTGTACGAGCGGTAGCAGGAGCGGTAGCAGCAGATGTGGCAGTACTAAATAATAGAAATAAGTGCAGGAAGGTGCGAGAAATCCGTGCGGTAGCAGCAGCAACAACAGTTGTAGCAGCAGGAGCAGCGCTTAGTCAGGTTTTAGCAGGTTTTAGCAGGTTTTAGCTTGGCTGTAGGCGGCAGCAAGGTGCTGACGGTAAGCCTGAGGCAAAATACGTAGTAAGATCCTGGTGGCAATAAACTAGCAAAAATCACGTTTGCAGTTAGCTCCTGAAGAGAGGAATTGTACGGACGACGGCGCGGCGGTATCTCAGTAGCTAGCTCGCACGTTTTCAGGGTTTGTGGTTACGAATGGGAAAACGAAAAGGCAGTTGTTTGTTAATTCAGTTATGAGTAGGCACTTGTTGCGCTTATCAGCGGCGGACGTGGCGGAATTCCAGACATATAGATGGGCGTTTTGCCGGCCGGGATGCCGGTTTGCATGTATGTCATGTATAGTTTGTGGTGACGTGCTAAAATGTGTGCGTGCATGCTAGCTAAAGCACAAGTGCTGCTGCTGCCGCTGCGGCTACTGCTGCGGCGGCGGTTATCGCTCATGTTTCGTTGCGATTGAGGTTAGTTCATACCGCTGTGGGTTGTTTAGGAGATGGCGGCGGCCTGAGGAAAGGTCGGTCGAATTGCGGGCGGAAGAAGAGGGGATCAAGATACATGCACCCTTTTTACCATGGAAAAACGGGCCACTGGCTATAGTTGTAGTTTTGCGTTCTGTCCTTCCCCCCGTGTTTAACCCTTCATTTGGTTTTTTCCCGCGCCATACGGCTACCGGGGGTTGAAGATGGGTAACCCATGGGTTACTGACCCAATCAGTGCCTTAGGCCATAGCCCTCCCGCGAGCGGTCACCTTAGTTTTGTTGTGCTTGTACGGCATGGCCCTGGCTTTTGTGAAGGATGTTTTAATATTTCGAAGCCCACGACGCATTTGTCCAGAATGTGATAAGATTGATGCAGCATAGTTTGAAAGATGTACGCCCTCAGGAATATATTCAATGCTATCATTGCGGGAAGCCCTTTGGCAAACGGCCGCGCGTTACAATGACGACTGCATTACTAAGCCTAGGCGCTCGTCCACCGTACACAGCCAAAGTAGCTGGGCGCACACCACCAACGAGGGCGGCATGTAGAGTATGTTCCACTGTTCCCCTTCCTGTGCCGCCCGCTTCACCGCCGGCGACAAAGGGCCACGTACGGCGTAAAGAAGTTCGCAACTGTTGCAACTGTATCAATCCCGCTCGCTTTCCTTGGACACTTTCCCTGATCTATGTTGGCTGTCTATGTAGTTACAGGGTGGTTAACTTCGCCAGCGGCCCCCTTTCCCGGGGCAGTCCCTGCTCTCCCCTGCTAGAGGGGCACCCTAATCCGTCACCCCATCCGACTTCAGAATGTATTCGTTGGGTTCGGCAACTCACCACCAGCATCCAACCAAATCTAGCGGATCAACGGCGCATCAACTTAGTTCCTGGTTAGCTCGCAAGTTGATTTTGTTGATTTCGTTTTTTCCTAACATTTTCTCTGTCTTTCTCTCTCTCTCTCGCTCCCTCTCTCTCTCACACACACACACAATATTTCGCTGTCTTGCTTAGGAACGTCACCACCACTGGTTGCATTTGTACTGTACTACTATTCTCGAATGCCGTACTGTTAGAAGTGAATCGGGATGGGTCGATGCGCCGCGTGTGGGATGGATAATGTATGATACATCATAAACACGCAAGTACAAGATAGACACCAGTGCTGATGGCAGCACTCCTCCGGCTCCATTCGGGCGCCAACAAGCCAAGAGTGATAGAGCCTCCCCGCTGCTATTGCTGGTGGTGCTGGTACTGCTGCTACTGCTGCTGCCGCTGCGGTACGATGAAATATGACGTGGTCGTGTGCTTTACCGGCGGTTATCAATCGCTCGCGAATTGTGTGCGGTAGATGCTGCAATACATCGTCATGGAATTACCGGTTCTACCGGGGTTACGTAGTTGAGAAGTGAGGGTACATTCATGCACACAGCTATTTTAGTATTAGTGCTGGTATGGTAATTGTAGTGATCATGTGCTACCTTAAGCTAATTCCTAGGAACCTGCTACTGCTGCTGCTACTGCTGTGGTGCGCGCACGCACAGGAATACGGTTTTCTTTAATGTTTGCAGCGGCGGCACTCGACTGTCCTGTTGTTACTATTTCCGCTTACTATTGGCCGCCATTGGTATGCTACATTACTACACATTGCTTAAACTGGGAAAATAAACTGTTGACTAAATTGACAGCTGACTGGTCCATGAGAAGGTTTAGGGCAACAACAATGGAAGCTCAACAACAACACAACACCACAGCAATCCCCCTTAAGCCTCCAGCAGCCGCATCTTTTTATTACCGTACAAGGACTCTCTTAACAAGTACACGGCGGACCAACGGTCAACTAACTTTCCAACGTCCACGTCCAAACTAACTTACCGCCCTTGCCGCCGTCTTTCAGCAGCAGCCAAACCCCAGAGGGCCAACGGCAACGGTCAACCATAACACCTATCGTACTACGTCCCCAAGATCAACCCTACACACGACAAGTAATACAGGAGGTGACAGCCCAATTTATTAACGGCGACATCCCAGTCAATCAACAGCAAGTCTGTGGCCTTCCCTAGCTTTTCAGCCTTCCGCGTATGGTATATACTGACTTCCCTCCTCAGCCCCCCTTTCTTTGCATGTGTTGGCGCCCGTGGGAATCCCGGGCTCCCAGATACAGAACAGACGTTTTCACAAAACGTAACCGCGATGATGCAGGACACTGTCTTCATTTGCCTCGCCATACCTAACCGCCGTAACCACCCTAACCACCCTCCTTCGTTACCCCACAGACGAACGCTAAAAACTGGCAGCGACAGGTACGCCGTGGCGGTCTCGCCAGCCAACACACCCCTAACTCAGCACTCAGCACAACACAACAACACAACAATACAACAATACAACGCAAATGAACCTTAAAACTCACTTATGTTCCTGTCTCCCATAACACCAACCTTGCAATACCAGCCGCGTGCATCCCTTCCTTCAAAACCCCCTTGTACGACCCCCTTGTACGACCCCTGGTGACCGGCACGCGGCTGGAGTATGAGGCAGCCGGCTTTTCTGCTGCAGTAGCAGCAGCAGCAGCAGCAGCAGTAGCAGTTGCTCCTGCCGCTCACTCCCCTCCATGCAGTGAGGGCAGTGCGGGCAGTGCGACCAGGGGCAGTCCGCTCTGGGGGTCCTCGGCCGTTCGCAATCCCGAGAGGTGCGGCAGCGGGTGCTGCAGCGCATGCGACCGAAGGTGCTCTTGCTGCGGTGTCCGGGTATGCGGCCCTTGAGTCGGCTGTGGCTCGTGACCGGGCCCTCCAGGTGCGATACCTGCCCCGTGGGTCCCAAGAGCGGAGGGGACGACGCTGCCAGCAGCGGCGGCGGCGGCGGCGGCATTATTGGCGACAGCATGGTCCGCCGCAGGTTCCGCCGCCACCCCCGCCGCTGGTGGCGGCAGGTCGCCTCCGGGTGCTCCCGGGGTGCTGTCCTCACCAGGGCGGGGGCCCCAGGCTGGTGATGTGACGTCTGTTGGGGCCGCGTGTGCATGTTTGTTCGTGTGCATGTGCGTGCGCGTGTGCGTGTGTGTATGTGTGCATGTGCGTGTGTGTGTGTGTGTTTGGAAGGGAAGGGAGGGGCGGGGGGGAGGGGACCAGGGGAAGTGTTATCGCCAGGGGGGGGGGGAGGGAGGGTTT